CAAGCAGTGCAAGATAGCACAAAAATATCAATGAGTTGAAGAAGTTGTATGTACCTCCATGCCAATGTGCGATTAAGAAATTCAGAAAATGTTGGGTAATCCACTGCTGCTGCTGAAGATGCCACCAATTACTATTAAAAAAAAATCCAGCAAAGACAATGAATGTTAGTTGAATATCTTCAATAAAGCTATGACACAATACTGTTTTGTGTGTTATTAGTTTAACTAGAATCATTGTATTAATGTGATTCTACAGCTTCATGGATAATTCTAAAGGGTTCACAAATTTTCTTTCTCCATTGGACATTACCACATTATTATCTCATTTATCTTCCCTCCTCCTCTGGGAAAAAAATCTAGTTTCAGATAAAAGAATTTCTCAACTTTTAACTGCACTTCCCACCATTTCATATCTTGATCCAAAATACATGTAAATGAATATAAGGCTGCCCACCCTATTGCCTTTAGTGCAAGTTACTTGGAAGTTTTAAAACAGAGCCACAAATACTTGGTATTAGCACCAGTTAGAGACCATCTGTTTTTCATAATTTTCCTGATTAACAGCTACATTTTTTTTAAATAGAAACAAGCATATTTTACACCAGTTTTATCTAATTATCAGGCATGTTTCACTTTGCCAGTTGTTTAACAATGTCTTCTTCCTTTTTGCAGTGCTTTGTATTGCTTGACAGTTTTATTCGGCTCACCCACTCTTATGCTTGGCCTGATTTTTAAAAACAGGTCAGTAACTATAGTTGATGAATTTAGTTCACTCTGTTTGTCAAAGATTGTGCAAGGTTGCTTGCTGTATGGTTAATATTCATTCATTCATTCATTCATTCATTCATTCATTCATTCATTCATTCATTTATTTATCAGGCTTCTATCCTGCTGCAATCACAGGATTCTGTGGCTCACAAAATAAGAATGTACAATAAAGTATAAAACATAAACATAGAACAAATAAAACTGCAACAACGTTGCATGTTCTCAAGTCTTCCATGAAAGCTGAATTAGTTTAAGGAAATAGGGTCCACTTATTTCTACATTATATAATTTTGGACAAACAGTAAATGCTATCAAATGTAAGAAAACAATAAGCAATAGGTCTTAAAACAGTGCCCCTCACGATGTATTTATTTAATTCCATACACAGAGCAAAGAGTCAGTTCAACCTTAAAGTACACGTTAAAAGTTACCGCCTATTGGATACAATTCCAAGTTGAGATTCTGTATGGAAGATGTAATCAGTGAGTAAATAAACTTTGCATTTAACCCACTGATAGTTCTGTTTCGATTGCTGCAGCTGCTCCACGATTCAAAGGATGACAGCATAATGGAACATTTGCAATAAAATGAAAAATATCTTGTAAGTGTGGAGAGCACTGATAGCACCAAGATTTTTCAAAATACACTAAGAATTTGTGCAATATTTCACGCATACAGAGATTGTTTTAAAAAATGGCCCACAGACTTCTTAGCATATTCAGCAATATTCATGGCCAGGTTGAATCCACTCTGAAGCTTTGGAACTAAAATGATGCTTCTTAAGAAAGTTGAATGCTATGCTTGAAGTATTTTTATATTACCAAAAGACATTCTGAAACATGCTTATATTGCACTTTATACTGCCTTTTGAGCAATTTTAATGGGTTATGCATTTTAAAAAAATTAAAGGATGACTCATTACCATTAATTCTAATTTATATGAATTCTTAAAGAATGGTCTCCCTACAGCAACAGCTTTCCATTAGTGGCAAAAGTATGATACTTTCTTAGTGATTATAAACATTCCAAATCTTGTACAACTAGAACACATTGTAGGGTTGGAAGGTGCTATTCAGGCCCACTAAGTCCAACCTCCTGTTCAGTACTGGAATCCAAATTGAAGCATCCCTGACAAATGGCTAATCGTGACATGAATACATCCTGGTAGATGGGAGTCTATCATATGTCTGTAATTGTTTCTACTTCAGACTGTTCTCGTGCTTAGAAAGTTTGTCCTAACATTCCACTGGAATTTGCCTTCCTGTAATTTGAATTTTTTATTTCATCTCCTCCATTCTGGAACAATAAAGAATAAGTCTTGGCTTATCGTGAATGACATCTTTCAGGTGTTTGAAGAATGTTATATATTCTCCCTCGGTCTTGTTTTCTCAAGGCTAAACATTCCTGTAATCAATTACTATTCCAATATCTTTTTCACAACTGTTGCCAAATCAGGAATTCCCCAATCTAGTATAGATTTTGTTTTTTATCTCTTTTTGATGGTTATTTTCAGCTAAATGATCAAGATCATGTTGAATTATTCTTCTTAGAGGGAATTAGCTATCTCTAAATTTGTATCATCTACAAATGTGATAAGTATTCCTACCATCTCTTCCTCCAAGACATTAGTAAAAATGCTGAAGAACACAGGACCCTGGACTGAATCTTGTGATATTCCTCTTGAAATTTCACTCCAGTTTGATGAGGAACCATTGATCAGCACTCTCTGAGAGCAATTTTCAAGCCACTTATGTATCCACTCAATTGTTATGTTATCTATCCCACACGTAACTAGCTTGCTAATCAACATCTCATGGGATACTTTGTCAAAAGGTTTAATGAGATCAAAATACATTACATTGGCAGCATGCCCATAACATCTGAAAGAACTTAATCAAAAAAATGGGACAAGGTCAGTCTGAAAACAATTGTTAATGACAAA